TGATAGGGACCATGTTGGGGAAAGAAAAAGAAAAGGCAGAATTGGCAATGACCCCACAGAGCATACAGATAACACTACAAATGATTCAAGAAACAATGATGATGACCCAAGAGGCAATAGCAAATAATCATGAAGAAACGAAAGTACATCACAAAGAAATCAAGAATGATATGGGAGAAATGAGAGATGAAATTAAAAAAAAGGAATGAAGGAATATAAGATAGTAATAATAATCAATCTATGGAGCATTACTAGTGTGTTGGAAAAAAAATTCTTAAGAAAATAACACTGCTTAGAAATACTTACCAGAAAATGAATTTCCCTGTAGTTTAGAGTTCTGGAAAAGAAATGGGAAAAAGAAATTAATAAGGACGATGCAGTAATGCCACCACTATTATCAATGCAATTATTGTATTAATTGTATTAAAAAATTGGCAGAGGTACAGTTATAAATGTCTACTAAATAAACATGTTTGAAATGTAAGATTAACAGAAAAAACCCCGCAAGCACATAGAAAATAAGAGATAGGCATTCTTTATCAAATATACTATGCCCGTGGATATTGATTTCTGATCATCCATTTGGTCTCCAGAAAGATTGACGAGCATTAGTCATATAGGCCAATTCTATATGCCTTCAACAAGTGACTGATTCAGCAACTAATTGTTGCATAAAATAAGTATTTTGGGAGAGTAATATCTATCTATCTATCTATCTATCTATCTATCTATCATCATCATCATCTATCATCTATCAAATCTTTTAAATTCCTTTTATTGGGAATATTTTAAGCCAACAGTGTTAACCATCAGCTTTCCGTTATTTCTTCTTAGAACTGTCAAATAAGTGTTGAACTTCTGGGGGAAAAGCTAATTTACTATATAATGAGCAATATTATCTTCAATTTCATCATCATCATCATCATAATTTTCATCCTCCTCCAAATAGAGCTATTGACTTTTTTCCCTTCCTTTATTTAGGAGATTTTTTTTAACCCAACTTTTCATCATCCTAAAGTGAAGGATCACTTGCTTGCAAACTTTACCCGGCCTCATTTCACCACAAGCAACTCACTCTTCACCCATCTCGTGTTACTAACCTCCTTTTCAGACAATCCAAATGCGTCCAGTTGCAAGAGGGCGAACACGGTTACTGCCCCAATCAGAAGCAAGAAGGAGCAGATGCTGAGGCACTTCCAGTGGTTATTTTTCTGGGAGGGTTCCCGGATTACAACTATGCTCCCTTTCTCCACATCGTTCACCAGTTGCTCAGAGCTCATTGTGGATGGCTTGTGCTTCAGAAAAAGGCTGCGCAATTCGTTGGTGGTGATGGGGAGCCCAGTAAAAATTTGATTCTCCGTCGGCAAATAGAAGCTCCCTTGTTTTTTTTTCAAATTGATTTCACGGATGCTGCTGCCTAAATTCAGACTGCTTCGAAAATTCAGCCGTCGGTCAAAGAAAAACTTAAGAGTAGATGGCAGATGAAGAAGAGTTCTTTTAGCTGTTTGACTTGTAGCCTCCTTGAAATTCACCTGAGGGATGTTGCTGTTTCCTTGCTTTTTTTTTTCTTTCCCCTTTCAGCCTTTCTTTCTTTCTGCTCTTCTTTTCGAAGCCGCTGCACCTTTACACAGAGGAGGCTTGACTGTTTGGACACTCTTGTGGCAGCTTCCTTTTAAACCCTTCTGCAAACGCCTGTACTGTCCCCGCCCACATCTAGCAACTCATGAGCAAGAGGAAAAAAGCAGAAAGAGGAAACGGTTACAGAACAGCCTATGAAACGTGTTGGAATCTGAGGTTGGTACTTTCAGATGGCAAGCGGACGCTCCGCCCTTTTCTTTTTTGGCCGGGTTTGTCCGTGAGACTGGAAAAGCAGGTTATTTAATTAGTGTGATAAATAAATTCACTCTTTCTTTTCCTGGCTAAGTCAACAGATGGCAGGGATGTGATAGGAGAGGAGTTTTAAAACAAGTATCTGTAGGCACCTGTCTCATTGATAGAACTCCTTACTTTGCAGAGGTATTTCTGGATAAACAGAGGAAAGCGGAGAAACGACATTATGTGCCCAATGTGGTGCCGGTAAATATCAATATGCTGGCAACACTTTCCTTGGTGGACACCAGCTTCTGATTTCCCTGATTTTTTTGATTTTTTTTTACATTTTAAAAACGGGGGTCAGCAAGTGGTAAAGCCCTGTCTCCCATAACCACTTCTATGGTCTTCAAGGGGTTCCAATAAACTTCGTTAGAAAACAAAAATGCTTCACTGCTGCCGCTACTTTATTTGGACATACCCCCCCACACACCCCAAAAAGACAAATGTAACCAGAGACAGTCATGACCATTTAAGAAGCAGAGATCATGCAAGGAACTGGTCAAATTCAGATACGTTGGTGCTTTGTACATCCTCTTCCAAGTTGGTGAAAACACCTAAAACTTATTTTCAGAATCCCAAATGTGGTGATTGCCCCCCCCCCGCACAAAACATGGGAATAGATGCAGGGGAGTCTGCAGAGTGTGATCCAGAAAGTCGAGATGGCATCCATGGTGCTGTAATCAAAGATCTGCCTGTTTTAGAATGGGTGGAATTTTGATCGTAACACTGTGGAAAGCACCTTGATTTTTTTGGACCATGGCTGTGCCTTTGGGGGGCAGCAAAAGCATTTATATTGAAATTACGTAAGCCTTCCAGAGTGATTTAGGAGCCTTCCTAAAATCAAAATATATAAATAAATTCCACTAAATTCCATCATCTGAACATCCATATGAATGACTATATAAATTTGAGTAATATATAAACATTCTGAGGTGCACCAGGTAGCTGGTCCCCCTTAACAAGAACATTTATTAATTCGGTGAATGTGTCTATTATACAACTTCCATACCTGGACATCAGCTATTATCCACATTAGGAAGGGCCATTGCTAGTAATCTTTCCCTTTGTGCAACTCCCTTTTAATCTAACACTCTGGAATTTGACAAGGATATTTCCACCAAAAGGGGTGGAAATTGCTGTACTTTTGCCATTGCTATACTTTTCAGCATAGCTCACCCTCTAATCATAATTCATAGGGACTTAAAAATGATATTAGCAAAGCATGATTCTGAATAGCCTGAATGGATGCTTATAAAAATTGACAGCTTTCCATCTCTCATTACCTTGATTAAGAACAAAAATAGTACAACTCTTTGTGTTTTCTCCATCTGAACTGATGAGAGAACCAAACTTTCTCCCTCCCCCCAAATTATGCCTCTGAAACAGAGACTTCTGTATGTTAGATTGGATTAAACATGTAATGGTATGTGAGAAAGATGTTGGGAGAGAGGGGGGGAAATGCCGCCTAGGGAATGGTCAGATAAGAGAGCGTATAGCTCTCAGTGGGATAGTGGGTGGGGTAAGACAAGAGTCTTAGAAGGGACCCTCGCTAGTTTTTTCAGGCTGTAAAAGAAACCACGGGAGAGTTCAGATTTTCAATCTTGCAAGTTTGATGTCAGCCTTGCCAGGCATACGAGGCAGGAAATATGACCAGATGAGTTAATTCTTCTTTATTGTAAGGCTAAATTAGTCGAATCTTCTAAGTGAGTTTAGTATGCAATCTTATTTGCAAAGGCCAATGCTGATTGGAGCTGCTGAGAATCTATCCAAAAGGTTTCATTGCAATCTGATTATCATCCTATGGTAATATTGCATCCCACCATCTTCTACTCACTAACCATTTATGTCTAGAACAGTGTTTCTCAACCTTTTTAATGCCGCGACCCCAACCGGTCGTAAGTCGAGGACTAAACTGGTTGTAAGTCGAGGACTAAACCGGTCATAAGTCGAGGACTACCCAACCGGTCGTATGTCGAGGACTTTCCCTGCCTGGGAGCGCCGCACATGCGTGGTTCTGCCCCCTGCGCCGGCCGAGGCGTAGCTGGCAAGCGGCAGAGACGGAGCAGGCCGACCACCAGCTGGCCCAGCCCAAGGGAGGTAAGGCACCCGCCGGAAAAGGGGGAAAAAAATGGCGGACAAAAAAAATGGCGGACAAAAAAAATGGCGGACAGCCTTGCTTGGCGACCCCCGTGAAATGGTCGATCGACCCCAAATGGGGTCCCGACCCACAGGTTGAGAACCAATGGTCTAGAACGTAAAACCTACCATATGAACTGGGTCACATCTATAACCCATCTATTTAAGGGTATCCATACTGGCTGGGGAATTTTGGGAATTGAAGTCCAGATAATCTTGAAGTTAGAACGGGCCGGAAATTCTGTCTTAGACCAATCCATTCTGTCTCACGTAATTGAGAATATAAGTTATTTCCTTTCATCTTGAAACTTGAGTGATGGTCAAATATCCAGTACTTGCCCCATACTGATGCCCCCCTAATAGTGACAGGGCAACCATCACATGTATCACGGGAGCATCAGTTTCTGCAATATTTGTCTGAGGAGAAAATCTGTAGAGATAAAATTTGGGTGTAGAAGTTATATATTTTGCTCAATTTGGGTTTACCGTGTGGAAAATCCCTGATTCTCTACTTCAATTACTTCACCAGAGGATTTTCCCCTATTTCTTTCTTACCTCATGATTTGGCTGAAGAAGTAGGAATAGTTACTTCTTTTTTTTTTGTTTCCAAGCTGGATTTTGAAAGTGAAACCAGAATTGTTGAGGAAGAAAATTCTGTGAATTCCATTTTATTCTTTGGCTGGTTTGTGTGTGGTTTTTTCTCCGAGTTAACCATTTATTAATCCATGTTCAACTGTTTTACCTTAAGTTCTCAGTACAAAGTTCTCAAAAGGGAACTAGCAATTTGGAATGCCATAGAGATGTATAGTATGTATATCCACACGTACATACTGTTAACCCCTCTCCAATCAAAGTAGTAGGATAATTTGACCATGGTCATTTGTGCCTCAAGAGGGAACTCTGAGTTGATCTGTTAAGTGATCCATCACTTGGGGTTTTTTTTGGCTGTCCACAATGTTCTCAAGGGTCTTTTCCAACATCAAAATCCAAAGGTATCAATACTCTTCCTATCAGTCTCTTTACAGTCCAACTTTCACTTCCACAGTTTAATGCCATGGCTTGCAATGATTCCAATTTTTGCAGGTAATAAACACAGCACAATCTTTGAATATTTTATTATTTATTTTATTTAGTTAGTTTATTTATTTAGTTTCGCCAAGCCCTGAAGGCCCATCTATTCCGTGCGGCCGGCCTGGCGTAGTTTGATTATGTTTCAGTGGGGGGTTTTTTTACGGGTGTGTTTTTAGAACAGGCCTGTTATTTAATATGATTTTAAAACAAACTATTTATTTATTATTGTGGTTTTTAGTATTGCCTGGTCACCGCCTTGAGTCCCGCAAGGGAGATAGGGCGGTATATAAATTTAATAAATACAAATACAAATACAAATATTAAATGTTTATGCCTCCCATCTCTCCTACAGCGTGACTCTGGGCGGCTTACAAGTTCTAAAAGGTAAAACATAAATATTAAAACATTAAAATATTATTAAAAACTGTACTAAAACTGCAACTAAAAGATTTAAGAGATGGATGGGGCAGAGATGAGGTCTTCTTCCCCTGTCAGCCACCTCCAGCAGTGAGTGCCCCCCTTGGGGTCCCAGGTCAACTGGCAAAGCCAGGTTTTAATATTCTTCTGGAAGGCCAACAGAAAGGGTGCAGTTCTCACCTCTAGTGAAAGAATGTTCCACAGAGATGGGGCCACAGCAGAAAAGACTCTTCTCCTTGACCTCACCTTCCTAGAATTAAGGAGAAACTTTCTGACAGTGAGAACAATTAATCAGTGGAACGACTTGTGGGTGCTCCAACACTGGAGATTTTTAAGAAGAGATTGGACAGCCGTTTATCTGAAATGGTATATAGAGTTTTCCACTTGAGCGGACTAGAAGACCTCCAAGGTGGGACTAGAAGACCTCCAAGGTCCCTTCCAATTCTTATTGTTATTCTGCTTCAATTCCTTAGCAGATGGGATCCATAGCAGGACTCTTCTGCTGGTACAAGTGTGGCAGGCTTGTCCCATTGGGGAGAAATGGCTCCTCGTAATATAAATAAAAAATGAAATATCTTTTATCGCTTATACAGTATACTGCTTATAAATGTTGATATTATTATTACATGTTATGGGCCATTTAGTCTAGAGGGCACTTCTGTTACAGTGATTTTACAATTGATTATTTTGGTTTTTTAATTCTATATTTGTACTATGCGTGATAAAGCAACTTGCTACAACTTCCTCCGATTGCCTAAGGTGGCTTGAGTCTTCTTACTTTTTTTAGAAATTATGAAATGCTATCGACCGGATGGAAAAGAAAGATTTAATGACAAAACATTATTCTCCTCTGAAAACTGAAACTCT